AACTTTTCAAACGAGAGCAATTTCGATTTCCATAGGTGCTTATGTCCATTAAATAATAATTTGATAATAATTCGGACTCTGCTATACATGCTCGTATGCTCGTATATAGCCACTCACTCAATCATCGTGAGCAAGTTGTAATATATGTATATAGATACTTAAAAATCTTATAGATATTTAACAATCTTCTCAAACAAGACCAATTTGAATCCAATTTCCACATGCACCTCTGCACCTTGGATAGTAATTTTGACTGCACAAAAGCTTTCCGAAAATCTATTCAATTTTGATGCTGTATAAAAAGGAAGACGAGTGCCTTCGTCACGCGACCATCTCTAGAGCTTTAATGCAGCATTCAGGCGCTCGCCTTGAATCGGCCAATTTTAGCTTTGACTTTGGCACATCGCGCATCGCGTGCTAAGCAAACCGAACGAAGTGCCAAACCAAAACACAATAAAAACGTGGAGAAGGAGACCACGAATGGAAAAAGTGAAAGGCGCACAACCACTGGACATGGTGCGGCACAGTGCGGCGCGGCGCGGCGCGGCACGGCTGGGCGGCCATTGGGCCACCACAGGAGTCAGCAGCCAGGAACTAGCTGAGCATAACCAGCGGCCCAGTTCGGAGCCCGCAATGAAATTGTAATTTTATACAAATCGCCAGAGTCGCTCGCTGCGGCTTCCCCGCCACACAGTGGCCATCATACGTGCCTGCCGTGCCAGTCGCGCTGAAGCACAGTGGGCTCGAGTCGCAGAAATTCAGAACTGCAATTAATTTTGCCTTTGAATAAAAGTGCTTTCTTAGGCCTTTCAATTTCATATCAATTTAAAAATATTATTATATAATATAATATTATAATTTTATAATATTTGCAATTGCGAATCATTCGAATTTGTTTGCCTTATTTATGAGTGTATTCAGAAATAATTGCAATTCATGTTGGCTTCCTAACTTTTTGCAAAATTTGATTATAATTGCCTTTTTGACAATACGTTCTGTTTTATTGTTGATAGCTTGCTTTTTTTAATTTACAAGTATATTAAATATTTCACTTTGCAACGATATTGCCAGCTTTACAGGCATTTCATTTGCTCCACTGTAGATCAGATGAAGCCGCCGTGTGCCTGACAAGGCTACTAGTTCGGCATCTTGGCACGTGACAAACGAATCAAGTGCTGCTGCTTTTTATTCCCCCTCTCTGCGCTTCTCACCGCACGCTGCTGCTGCTGCTGTTGCTGCTGCTGCTGATGACCACAATTTGTAGTCATTGAGTGTGCCGTTGCCGCCATTTTCTTGAGCACCCCCTCCCCCTCCAGCCAATGATGGGGCCGCCAATGCTGATGCTGATGCCGATGCTGATGCTGATGCTGGCACATTTAAACAGAGATTCGCCCAATGGCAACGAGCCACTTGTGTTGTTCACTTAAATAGTTGCAAGTTAATTAAGTTAAAATATGGCCTCGTTGCACTCCAAACACAAACACACACACACACACACACACACACACACTGACTCACAAATACACACACACTCACATGCGGGCGCACACTCGTCGGCACACTCGAGTGTGTCTATTAAATGAAAGTGCACAACTTGAAAGACAAACTCGAGGCTGTGATGAGCTTGTTGCCGCAATGGGCCCAATGTCCTTGCCGTTGACTAATAGCCAAGTTGTATTTAAACATGCCACGTACAGTAGGCGGGCGGCAACAGCAACAGAAACAGCAACAGAAACGGATTTGATTGCTCGCTTTCTTCCTCCCAACAACTCTACGAGCTCTTCATGCCGATGTGTCTGTGTATATATACAGGGTGCGCCACTTTGTCATTAGTGAACCGATTGACTTGAGTAGACCAGTGTTGAAAACCTCAGTTCAAGATTCAATTGTACAGAACCAAATTAAATAAAAATATCTCATGCTTGAAAATCGGTTGTTTATTTTCAAAGATATTCAATGTTTACATACCGACATAAAAGATGGCGCACCCTGTATATATATATATATACTCGTATGTGTGTGTGCGTATAAACTTAAGCAGCTCTCTTGTAAGTTTTGCTTTAAGTTTTTTGCATCGGATTAAGTTGAGAAATCATAGGCCTGACAACTTTTGTCTATCAACTGGCACTCACTCAACTTTTTGAAGGGGCGGAGATTGGAAATATATATATCTGTATACATGTACATAAGTATACAAATATAAGTAGCAGGCCAAGAGCAACTTTAATCACCTACCTAATGTTATCACTTGAATTTTGTCATTAAATTAGTTTCATACAATTTTGAAACGAAAACAAACTGATATATCTGGCTCAACTAAATGGTTGCTTACCAATATTCTTGTATGCAAAATACTCATTGTTAAGATCTAAAGATCTGAAAATTTTTGGAAAGCAATGCTCTAAAGCAATACTCTATAGCACACATAAATATATAAATGAGTGTAAACGAGGGAGGGGGATTATCAATATTCTTCAGTGCAATAATTATTTCATTTTTTTTATAAAGTTCTTCACTGAAAAATGGGCGCATCTATCACAGATGAATGATTTGGAGCAACCAAGATCCTTCTTGGCTTATAGAAGTTTAGAAAATGTAAATGATTTTGTTAATGTACCACAGCTTAAATTTTCTCCTAGCTTTGTTTTGAGAATCGCCAAGAGTGGACTTTTTGTTCGCATACTTATACACAGCGAGAATTTGATTGTTACTTCTTAGCTGGAGATAATTGATATGAAAAGAAGAGTGCTGATGTGTTTATGAGCCTCATCTGAAGAGAAAATTTGTCCAAAAATATACATTTAAAAAATACACATAGCCTCCTCCTTTTTTGAAGTCAGTTCAAATATTAACAAACATAACAAAGGCTATAGCTGTTGCTCTTTTGAAAGTGATTTAATCATATATCGAGAGCTTAAGATTCTCACATTGCAGCTCCGCTGGATATGTTAGGAATTATTTAATTTACAATGTAAAAGTGTAAGATTCTCACTCGGACTTAATTGTTTATTATTTTGTACAGCAGCTTGAAAAATAGCACAGAAACAAAATGAGGACAAAGAAGCCCCCTATTTTTTTATCAATATATAAGATGGGTTATATTTTCGATGTGGGAAAATAGCTGAAGTAGGAAGGAGATGGTTAAAGAACAAGTGAAAGTTTCAAAGTTTGTTTCAGTTTCACTCTAGTTTTAAAAGAGGTTGCTCTTTAGACCACTCCCTCAATACACCTGAGTGCCTTCTATTTTTCATCCGATAGGCGACGCCCTTTTATGTATAGTATCAGTCGTACTCTCGATTTGCATGCAGGTGGTGGCAGATGGCAGATGGCGGATTATAACAGTGAAGGCAACCTTCAATTCCGCCCACTCTGACCCAGTAATGAGCCATTGGGAAAATTCCGCATATGCCATTGAGCAGCCATCGAGCCGGCTGTGCTGTGCTGAGCTGACTGAGCTCGCGCTTAGAGTCGACCACGCGTAATTGTTGTTTCTAATTAGTTTTTAATACATTTGCAATAAGCATATGGAATTTGAATTATTACGCTAAGGCCCACGGTGCATACGAGTAGATGGAGGTTATGCGAGCGCCGACAGCCGCTGGCATCGACGGCTAATTAGCATCTGAGTTTCAACTGAATTTTATTTTTAATAGCAAGTAGACTTTTCCCCCACTGCTTTTGTGATTAGGCCACGTTCCGGCTTCAGCATTATGCTGGAAGTTTGTCAATCACATTTGCCAAAGTGGTGGTCCACCCTTCTAGATCCAAAATTTTGTAGAATATGTATGTATAATATAAATTATCTTCTGCAACCAGTTTAGTATAAACTGCTTGTTAAATGTTTATGTTTTTTCAGTCATTTTTTCCGCATATATAGTTATTCATTTGCTGCTTCTTATTTTATTTCTTTTACAAGTATTTCAAAGAATAACTGTCGTTTGTTCTTGTTATTCAGTTGGCCTTAATCTCGTTTTCCCATTTCCTGCTTGCATTTTTCAGAGCGATTTTTAAAGCTTTTTCGCCATGAAATAGGAGAGGAGAGTCCAAAATGCAGCTCTCTGGCTCCAGTGGCTTGGTGTGTACGTTGATGAAGGAATGAATAAGTCAGTCGGTGGACCAGGACGAGCACTTTATATATGCATCTACTATGTTTGCGTATCAAGACTTTGACAAAGCTAATGACTTGGAAAGAATATCATTTCTCTGAGTGTCATGCTCTTGGCACATCCTTGACTTCCATCGACCATCTAGTTACCTTGATCTCTGGCACGTTGCGAAGACGATTGCCAGTTGCCAAAGTTCTTGATACTTGTGTTTATTTACTAAATATTCCTGGCTGTGGTGGTGGTGGTGGTGGTGGTGGGGTGGGGCTTCCCAGGGAGCTGCCTGAGCTGTTGCTACAAGTTAATGTTAATTGTTGTTGACTACTTACTTGGAGGAGGGTCAGAGTTAAAGATGCGCACGTGCCTTATTATTTCACTGTCTATGTGTATACTTAGACTACATATATTCTATATATAAATGCATATGCCTTTAGGTGTGTGTGTGTGTGTGTGTGTGTGTGTGTAGGCAGCTATTTACGGTCCTCATTGATTTCGACGCGGCTCACAAATTTCGGCCTGCTTTATTGGCCGCACTTAAAAGCGTACATAGTTGGCAGTTTTGTTCTTGCTGCCGCTGTTGGTCGACCATAAAAATAAATACGACTATTTTTACGGTGCCTACAACTGATAAAAACACGACAGGCAACAATAATAATAACAACAACGAGAAGAAGAATAGCAGCATAGCTGCTGCGGTTAGCAGTTTTCATGCTGCCTGAATCGCAGATTCCAACTCAGGCCCAGCCTCAGCTCCAGCCTCTGTGACCATGACCACCGTCGTCATGTTGTCGTCGCGTTCTCCAATCCTCCCGCCACCACATTAGTATCTTGTACCTTCCCCTCCTCCTTCGCCCACTCCACCTCCCACAGCTTCTGCTCATCCTGTGATGGCATCGCATGACGGCCATTTGTCTGCTCGCCGAGAGCTGGGACGACGACGATGACGACGACTACGGCGAAGACAAACGAAGTGCCTGACAGACAGCAAAATCATTGAAATGTCACTCGCTCTGTCACTTTGGCCGCGTCCTTGCCACGTTTTCAATTTGAGGTAGCTGCCTGGATCCTTAGCTGCCACGCTGCCTAGCTGCCATAGAGCCTGGCTCGCAAGTCACTTAATGTCAGTTAATTACCCAAGCACAGAACTGCTCAGCGCCCAGTGCTCGGATTATTATGTTATGATTTCGATTTTCCACGAAATTCGTATGCACAATTTCACCGCGAAAATGACAAAACTTTCGCAGGCATAAGTACGAGTCCTTACGAGCATAGTTGTAGAGACACACAAACATATATACATACATCATAACAAACAAATGCGATGATGATGATGATGACGAGTAGACCGTTGCGCATTCAATCAACTTTACAAATACATACTGCTTGTATATTAGTCAGTAGAGCAAAGTCGTGATATTTGAATGTGAAGGAAGTGGAAGTCGCAAAAAGGGTTTCTAGTGACTCGCAAACTTTTGAAGCAAGCCAGCACGGTCTCATTACCTCATTTATAAATATCTTAAGCGCTGCTCTCAATCTCTGGCAAGCGACGAAACATGCCAGCAATTCTTGGCGCCACTTCCACCGAAATAACTTGGAAAAGTTAATAGCGAAAGATGTTGAATGAACGAATGAATGAATGAATGAATGGTTGAATGGATGTTGAAAACAATTTTGCCGCATTTTAGTTTATTTTCCTAATGATTTTAAGCTTTTATTTTCACCACGCATTTATTATGATACTATAATTTATTATAGAATGCAAAAAGGGACGCTTTGAAAGTATGGTTTGGTGCTTTCAAAAGTGAAAGTTATTGATTTGTTTGACTCTATTTTGTGATAGTATTTGTGCCAAGGTTGGGCCAAAGCAGAACTTTGCATTCACTGACAAAATACGAAGGATAAAATAAACAAACATATTTTACTAATTTCCAATCTACGAATTTTAAATATTCATTAAATTTAAAAAAGAAACAGATGCAGCCAAATTATTGTAGAATTCTAAAACACACATACTATTAATTATCGAATATCTGTCCAACGTGTGTAATTTGTTGAGCTCTTAAATCTGAAAGGTATTGTTTGGCACACACATTACCATAAAAACTAAATTATTGTTGTTTAATGTTATTAAATCATGTTTTTTGAATATTTATTGCTTATTATTTTTAGAGCTAGAGCTGGAGATAGGAATTTAATTGATACTCACACTCAATTATAAGTAGATCGGCGATATTCTATTGCAAATAATTAGCCAGAAATGTTCAGCGACAATTCTCGCCCCTTCCCCTCCCCTGCGCAGCCCATTTGTTAAATATGTACGAGTGTTTTTTTAAGTGCTGCCCGCAAAACTGATTTCACGGAACGGATGGCAAAAAGCGCACTTTGGACGGCACAAATAAAATGTAACGAAAATATTGTTGCTCGTCACTCATTTAATTTAAAACCCAAACTCACCGAAAGTCGCGTGTTGTGCAGTTTTTTAATTGAAATTGCAGACAACACTCCCCACCATTGGCATGGGCATCGTGGCAACTGCGACTAACCGACATCAGAAAAAGCAGCAACAGCAGCAGCAACAGCAGCAGTATCACCAACATCATCATCATCATCATCATCATTATCATCATCATCTATCATATATCGCGTATCGGTTTATGTAGGCCATTTTATTTTTATATACACCATAAAGCATATAGTATGTATATATTTTTTGTTTGGCAAATTTTGCGCCTTAATTAAATTGCATGTGAAACGTGGCGCCTGCGGCTCGACAAAAATGTTGCTAGTTAAAATAACAAAAAGAGGCAGCTGACGTTTATTGTTCGTTGTATGAGTTGGGGAAGGGGAAGGGGATAGGGATGGCGATTGGGATGGAGATATGGGGGTGGGGAGAATGGATGAGTGGGGTGTCGATTGAATTTAAATTCACTTGTCATGACCCAAAACCAAACGAAACGAAACGAAACAAAACCAAACCACACCAAACCTAAGCTAGTACTCGTATAGTGAATGGAATTGCTGCAGAAATTCAAAAATGTTCGTGCACGCATCGAAGCGTTTGCGGTTGAGTTTTGAGTTTCCTGCCTTGGCTCCTTGCATACTGCCAGTTGCTACAGTTATCAGCTCAGAATCCACAATATAAGGAAATACCAGCAACATGCACTTTTCCACATATAGTACATACAAGTATACGAGTACTATACACTCGTAGAAAAAATCTAGTTATAGGCTAGGGAATCGGAGTATATTTCTCATCAAAATAAATGAAAAAACTGCAGATCCCTGATAAGTGGAGAGAGATCATTTTGAGGTAATTTTATTCTAATTATAGTATAAATTCTATTACAACGATTTGGCTCATTCTTTCCTATAGGAAAGCCTTTAATACAGGAGTGATGTACTTAGTTACTTCTTCTTTTGATTAAACGCCTTGCTTTCTCCATACATTTTACCTTTAATCCGACTTAAAGAAAATGAAAATAGTGAGCTAGTCATTTAATAAAATAAAATTGAAAACAAAGATGCAGTTTTAGACAACTCCTCTTATAACTAGAAAAAATTGCAATCAATCTTAATATGGGAAGCTGTCTACAAATATTCTCTTTAAGATTTAAGAACAAAACAAACATTGAATAATGAGCTGAGAAAATAAAGGAATAAGGGAAACGTTTGACAAATATTTCTTAGTTCAGAAACACTCCAAGTTGACGAAACTTGATTAACGAATGGAGTGGGAAACAAATTGTTCCTTTACGAGTTGATTTACTTTTTAATAAATCCGAAGTACTAACTAGTGAGTATTGAATTGAATTAACATCATATTCATGACAGACTTCTAATATTCGAAACATTTCTCTGCAAATTAGTTGCCTGTGTGACCAAAAAGTCAGACATTATTCGCATATGAGGATTACATGACTATACCTCTCATTTAAGACCTAAACGATGATGGGAGGCTTCGTTTTATCGCCTATGCAAGAATCATCCAAGTCCTTGAACTGCAGGCTCTCCCAAATATTCTCAGTGTGCTAAGCTGCCCCATCAGTTGCCTCTCGTTTGCTTTGTTGCTTTTAAGCCCCCACCTCCTGCATGCCGCTTTGTGTGGAGCTCTTCTTATTTTTTCTCTATTGTGTTCCCTATTCTATGTTGTGGCGGCCCACAAAAGTCGAAATCTAATCAATGCGTGCGTGCGAGCCGCCCAACGGTCACGCTTAAGTGACATGTCAAGCCACAAGCCACAGCCACAGCCACAGCCCTTGCCCGCTGCTCGTCCGCTCCCGCATCTACTGTATCTCTAGTGAAACGTGAATACAAAAGACAGAGGAAGCTCAGCTGAAAATTACCATGGGCCAGCAATTAAGTGCTCAGGCACAATCAGCAGCTGTTGGCAGGCAGTTGACAGGAAAAAGTGCAAACAAACAGAATGAAGAGCGAAAAAATTGGACAAGTGTACTCTTAGCGAAAGAAGATCGATATGTGATATCTCGCACTTCAAAATCACGAGCACGCACTTTTCTTTCTTTAACGCCACAAAACTTTTGCGGAGAATTCGCTCATCTGACCAGGTACCAGGTACTTTGTTTAAAAGTTGTTCTAAGAAATAGCAAATTATTTTTATATAAATGAGAATAACTGTTGTGCATTATTGCTTATTTAATTATGCATAACTGTCTTTTGTAGATGCAAAATTATTCACATTTTAATCAGATTAAGGTAGTTTAGAGTACCTATCGATTATTCCTATTTGAATATCCTTTCTACGGCCCGATCTTTTTATAAAAAATTAATTAATAAGCATAAGAATTGGGCTTGGGTTCCATTTAGACTAGTCTTGCTGGAATGCAAAATAAAATGGAAAATCGTTTTCATTATTGATTTCATTCTACCAATCAAATGTAATACTTGCAAAATGGCATTTGGAAACAAAACGTTTCACTTTTTGGAAATTGTAACATAGCTCATCCGTTTAAGAAATAAACCATTTGCCACTTTAAAAATATGACTCGATTTACAAAAGAAAAACATTTAATTTTCATTTCATATAAGCACGAATGGTTAACATTTCGTAGCAGCTCCACTTTCAGCAATATTGGTTGAAGTATATACTGCACTCTATATTTCCCGATATAAGTTATCATAACCTCATGCCTAATCGGATTCCAAATTCCAACAGAACTTAACAGAAAATAACTGTACCAATGCCATTGAAGAATCTGGCCTGATTAGTTAGCTTGGCTTATCTAATTAGCTCTGACCAGCCTCTTAGCTAAGCTGTGGCTGTTTAGCCAACTAGGAACAATTGTTGTTAGCAGATCATGGACAATCTGTAAATCACGTCATTGGTCCATCGCTGGTGTTGGAAGGACAAGAAAAATAATAGAACCCAGCAGCTATACGACAATTTGATTTGTTTTCCTTCTACTGTTTTCCTTGTCTATTTTCGTTTTTTCTCTCTTTATTGCTTGCAGTTGCACATTTAAAACGCATGTCAAATGCTTGTCAAGAGGTAGAAAACACTCAGGAAAATTGTGAAGGTGTGTGTGAGTGTGTGTGTCTCTTTTCCAAAGCATGCTGCAACATTTTTAAAGCATGCTCTTTGATAACAAAATGCTGGCTCTAAGCCATGCGAATGCAAAGCATGTTGCCAGTTGCTCATGTATATGAGCCTGTATGTGTGTGTGAGTACTTGCGTGTATGTATGTGTATGTGTATGTGTGTGTGTGTTGGAAATATTGCCTGTCAAACATATCTTTGGCGTAATTCATGCGTTTCCCATATGCGAACGTGCGTGACAAACTTGTAACCAAATATCGAGGCACACGCACACGCACCCACACATTCCCATATGCACACACGCATACTCACACACACACACACACAAGCACACATGCTTAGCACACGCACGTCAAATACCGTTTGATCCCAAAAAAACAAACATAACAAAGGGACTTAGACGAGCCCTGCTGACTT